TGAAAATAAAACTGTAGCTGAGTGTATCTGCATGGAAAGAGCTGCTTTTAATTGGCTCTAGATTGGTCAGTCTGTTGGAGGACAAGCTCCAAGACTCTTTGTCTTCCAAGGAAAAGAGCTGCAGCAGAAGAGAATTGGGGGAAATATGGGAAAAGGGGAGGGAAAATGAGCTTGGATCACTTCAAGGGAGTGAAATGAACCCCTGTGTGGGAATGAACCCCCCAGGGCTGGATCCAGGCCTTGGTGGCTGTGGTGTGGCCAGAGGAGCCTGGGCAGGTTCCTGCAGGGTTCAGGGGTGGCAGCTGAATCCCAAGGCTGGGACAGCTCAGCACTGGCAGCACTTCCCAGAAAACAGGGATTGCACCTCCAGAACAGATCCTGCAGGGAATGAACAACTCAGTCCTGACTCCTGGGGAGCCTTGGCTGAGGGGAATGGCAGGGTGGGTCCTGCAGCCTCTCAGGAGCATTGCAGGAGATTAAATTTGCTGCCAAAATGGACATCAGCTTAATTTGGGAAGGAACTGGGAGCTCTGCTTCAAGGATCTGAGGGGCAAGAAAAGGTTTTGTTCCATTTCCTTGGATGCTTCCACAGCAAAGCAAGGAAAACACCTGGGGAGGGAACATCCTGCTCAGATGGGAGGGCAAGGCCAGCTCCAGCTGAGCCAGGACAGATCCATCACTCCAAATTCCCTCCAGCTCTGTACAAGGAGTACTAGGATGGTAAAAGATAAATTCCAAGCACAGGGAAGTTGGGAAAAGCTTTTCTCCCATCAGGGGCCTGGTGGGGGGGGGCAGCCACAAACAGGGGCTCAGTATTCCCAAATCCCAGAGCAGCTGAACTTGGAGGACACCCCTGGAGGTCACCTGAGGCAGAGGTGATCCCCTGCACAGGCAGAGTCACCCAGAGCAGGTTTCCCACATCCAGGTGGAGTTTGGGAATCTCCAGGCATGGGAACATCACAACATCTCATGGCCACCTGTGAACTCCAAGTGTTTAATGCCCTTCCCAATAAAATCTTCTCCCATGAGAAAACATTCCTGTATTTCTGTGTGTGCCTGCCACTGGGAACACTGGGAACACTGGGAACACAAAGTTGCCACCAGCCTGTGGATGTCCCTTCTGAGGGATAATTTGTCCATCACGTGTTTTATGGAACCATGGAATGGTTTGGGTTGGAAAGGACCTTAAAGCCCATCCAGTGCCACTCCTGTCATGGCAGGGACACCTTCCACTGTCCCAGGCTGCTCCAGCCCCAATGTCCAGCCTGGCTTTGGGCACTGCCAGGGATCCAGGGGCAGCCACAGCTGCTCTGGGCACCCTGTGCCAGGGCCTGCCTACCCTGCCAGGGAACTATTCCTAATTCCCAATATCCCATTAAATCTCCCATTTTCCGGCTTAAATCCATTCCCTTTCCCTGAGGAACAGGACACTCTGTCCCACCCGCTGCCCCAGCTCCTCCCAGCCACAGACAGGACACAGTGACCTCACTGGAGATGTTTTCCCTCTGCACAATAATTCCAGGGCTTCCAGTGCTGCTTTCCTACTGGAGTTGGGGGTGGTGTGATGCCCCTCAAAGGAGCTGGGATGTTTATCCAGGTTTGCTGGGTTAAAAACCACAGGGAGCAGCTGCCTGGAGCTGGAAGCTGCAGAGCCCAGCGTGTGATTCCCACAGGAATTTTGGGACAAACCCAGCCAGTCTGGCCATAAACCAGTCTAGTGACACACTTATGGGATCTCCGGAGCCTGGGAAATCTCATGGCTGCCATGCAAAGGCAGAAGATGCAAATCCATGGCCAGAGGAGCAGGAGATGGAAGTCAAATGAGGGATTCCTGTGCCTGGAGAAGGAATTCAGCAGGTCTGGAGCCTCTCCTGCACTCAGGGGATGGATTGAGCCCTGGTGTCTCTCCTGGGGTGCAAGGTGGGAAGAGCCTGGGACAGGATGAGATTCCTCATGGGAATGGTCCTGGATGAAACAGCACAAGAGTGCTCAGGAATCTGGAGGGGGTCTTCTGAACCCAGGATGCATCAAGACATTCCAGAGGAATCCCTCCAGGCTGGATTCCAGCCCCTGGAGCCGTGGGGGCACAAATGCCAGTGGAGGATGAGGAGAAGGTGCCCTGGGTGCTGTTTGCTGGCACGGAGCCGCTGCGAGTGCAGCAATTGAAGCGTGTCAATAACAAACCAACAGAGCACTGCCAGCAGAAAATGGCATTTCAATGGCATTTTGTTGTAATAAAGAATTTCCATGGGAATACATTGATTTCAAGGAAAATTTAATTTAGGGAAAAGAAAGGGGAAAAAAAGAGAGAAGACATTTTGTGAGCGGTGAAAGCTCGAGCACCTCTCTTGCAGTGAATATTTCATCTGTTGCTCCACAATTGACTTTATTTCCCAGCTCGTTCACCATCCTGCAATTATGGAATTTGATGGGAGTACTTAGCTCTGATCCAGCCTCGACTTTTGGCAGCTCTTGCCAGATTGGAGGGAACTTGCAGCAGAGCCAGGTGTTTCTGGTGGAGCTCGTTTCTGATGGAAAACATTGCTGGGAATGGCACTTCCCTTGGGCTGAGCTGTGCTGTGGCAGCAGATCGAGGCCTCCAGACCTCCTGAGGCTTTTTCCAGTCACAGAAAGATGGAATGATACAGGTTGGAAAAGATCTTTGAGATCATCAAGTCCAACCTCTGACCCACACCACCTTCTCAACTAAACCATGGCAGCCAGTGCCACATCCAGGCTTTCCTTAAACACCTCCAGGGATGGGGACTCCATCACCTCCCTGGGCAGCCCATCCCAACCTTGCTGCCTCCTCTGAACAAAGCATTGCTTTGGTCACCTTGAGTTTCCTGATTATTCCTGATTTTCTTCCTGCCCTTGGAGAAGCCCCCAGACCCCTCTGACAAATCCTCATCCTTGCAGCTTTTCCAAGTTCTTCTCTCAGCTCTTTGTTTGTTCTGTGTCTTGATTTGAACAGCCAGGTGTCTACTAAGGAGGGCAGGAGCCTCCCCTGAAATGGAAAATGCAAACCCCCTCCCTATGAATTGTTATCATTTTGAAATTAAGGGGCTCTCAGGCAAAGAGATGGGAATAGGAATAACAGTTCTTTACTAGGAAAATTAAAATACAAATGCAATAGTGCAAACAAAAACCAATCCACTGTCAGAGTGAGAGCAGTCCCTGCCCCCTGTGTGTCAGGGGGGTGTCCCAGCCCCATCCATGGGGGCTCAGCCCTCCTGCAGTGCCAGCTGTGGCTCTGCTGCAGCAGGGATCCTGCACAAGGGGGGAGTTTTCCT